CTGTGCACAAATTTCGTGCACGGGGCCTTTAGTAATAAATAATAGTATGGCCAGTAGAGTGGTATAGGAATGCAGAAAGCAAATGTGAACACCAACTAGAATAGTGCTTGTAAATAGGTGAGAAACCGATATTATGATGTTATTACACAAGCTATATACTATTCTTGGAATACGTTATCCCAGTTATGGTAACAGCACTTCTAAAGGGTGCGCCACGTGAATTCTTTTTTAGTGTGTGTGTTTTGTTTTTAAATTCAAAAGTAAAAGCGTGCTTTTTTTCTCCCCCCCCCCCCCAGATAATATTTTATAAAAATGGTGTCAACCAAGGTGTGGCTTACAAAGATATTTTTGAGGGGGTTTACTTTCCGGCCATCTCATTGTACAAGAGCTGCACGGTATGTACCATCTGTTCATCATGTGGACAGAACTTGAGAGAAATAGGTAAATGTCAGTGGTCAAAGAGCCACTGACTGAGTTCTAGGAAGAAATTTGAATTACCTAAGGAAGATGGGAATGTTTTTTGACTGTCACTGTTTGTTCCAAAAATAGTTGGGTGTTTTACGAAGCATTTGCTTAGATCATGCAATTAGTGTGCCCCATATTTGTCCTTTGAATGTACTGTGTGGTAATGTTATTGTTTAGTGTCATGGCTATAAACTATTTGCTATTTATGTGCATAAATCAGGTTGGTGTTATATATGTCATGATAGCCTAACATTGTTAGTTTGTAACTGTTGCTATATTGATTTAAAAATCCTATATAATAAAAACATAATATGTTAAGTGTCCAGTCATCTGGTTGGCCATTGAGCCAATCAAAGCTGTAATCCTAATATATAAAGAGCCAGGGTTCATAACTTCCAAAACAACCAAGCAGATGACCGAACGCCAGGCTGCACATGCAGCAGGCTCGGGTGGGTGGGGACTGGCCAACATGCTGAATTGCTGACCTCTCAGTCCCTCTTGGGTCACAGGCACTGCAGCGACCCAGTACTGACTGCCATCGCTAAGGTGGGTGTGATGTAATTGGTCAGGGGGCCCACCATCATCCCATGATCACCCCACAGAGGGAGGGGACTCATTAAGGTAATGCCCAGAAGTTTCCCATGTACTTTTAGCCTGTCGATTAGGCTCCAATGGAACTAAAATAAGAAAATCTTTCTATTATAAACAGAAATGAACATGTCTATTTTACTTACCTAATTTTTGGTGGACATTAAGGTGTTGACCAATTTTAGCAATATTAATATATATAATTGTTCCAGTTATACCCTGCATGTCACAGCTACCTTCAAAGAGAAAAATGTCCCATTAAGTTTTTCACTATATACTTACTTTGTTTTGCCATGTCTGCTTGAATTGAATTTATCCCAGGTTTCCATTAACTTTGGACCGTGCTTCAAATATCCTCCAAAGGACCTCACTTACCGCCCTGTGAGTAACCTTAAAAATGTCCACCTGCATCCTCAGCATCTTTGCAACTTTTCTTGCCGCAGTTATTCTAATCGCCTCCTTTCTGTTTCTCATTCCTCCCACAGATGAGTGACATGGGCTGGGGCGCGGTGGTAGAGCACACTCTGGCTGATGTCTTATATCATGTGGAAACAGAAGTGGATGGGAGGCGGAGTCCTCCGTGGGAGCCCTGACCGGGTCCCTCTTTCTTTGCAGACATGGACTCTCTGGGGAATGATATTGGGGGATTTTCTTTTTGTTTTTTAACTGTGACAAACGTTATCCCGAAGATACTGCAAAACATAGCCTCTGCTGTTAGCAAGGTAAAAGGCTGGGTGGGACTGGGAGAGACTCCCTGCCCTTCAGCACTCTCCCTGCTTCTAGTGACTGCTTTCATTTTGTGTGCGATATGCCAACTGCTGACCCTAGAGTCCCATAAGCTCCCTGTGAAACTGGTGCTGTACCACGTTCCCCACTACTGGGGCTTGTTATCTTATTGTATTCGCTAGGGAGTGGATAATGTTGTCCAAGTAGCTAACTTATTGAGAGACTCTTTCCCCCTCTGTGGGCATTGACTCCTTCCCACCTGATTTGCAAGGAAGGTGGGCCTGTTTCAGAGGACAGCTGGAATCAGTGGCTGTGCGTACCAAACGGATCTAAGAGCTCTCATTTGGGTGTGGGTTTGTTTTTGTTATTAATTTTGAAATACACTTTGAACACTGGGATCTCTGAAATTACCATGCCTCTAGAACTGTAATTGTGAAAGGAACTCGCTTGCAGCTTTAATAATTTGAAACTTTTTCCAAATAAAACTTCTGATCACGCATGTGTGGCATTTTGCTTCCCTCTTGGGGACAGAGTTGGAAATGTGGGCAGTCTGAGGAAGGGTAGCCAGCAGTGGAGGAAAGAGCTAAGCTTTTGATTTATATCTCAACCCCTATCCTATTGCTTCCTTTCTCTCCAGCCAACTCAACCACCCACCCCTTTCAACCTGTGGAAAATAAGACTCAAGAGGGGAAGAAGGGTAAAGGGTTAGTGGTCTCCCTCCAGTTCTCCTTGAGCATGTGTATTAATATATACAGCTTGTTTTCCTGCCTTCTCTTCCTTTGTGCACCTGATGATTAAAGGGCAGTTATCAGAAATGAAAAATTAGAATGTAATTGTAGGGTCCCTTTTTTATACATCAGTGGCAGTGCAGCCCTCTCAGGATGGCCCTAAACTCACCTGCATGAACTGGTAAATTCCTACCTATGTTAATAGGTAGAGTGGTTCACCACCAGGTAGTAATATGTTGCCAAGAATCACCATATATTAAATTCTCCAAATTTCAAGTGACTGTTGGTATCCTAACACAGTAAGTAGTTTTGACTGATATTTTTTTTCCCTAACTAGAAGACAAATATATTAATTTGGTCCATTCCACATCTCCACAGGAAATCTAACACTGAATCAGTATGATCTTAGATTGGAGTCTCAGTCTATTACCTTAAACACCTGTTCACTTGTGACTGGTCTTAAAAGGCAAACATGGCTACAAAGTTTCTGGTCATCAGAGTTTGAAGAACTTTTAAGATGAGGGTTGTGTTATTTAGAGGAAGCTGGAAGTAAATTCTTTACAGTATAAATTACCACATATGTAATTATGTAATACAAATTATGAAATAATTACAACCTACTCTTTTTAAATGATAAAATTAGTTTTTGTACATTTGACTTTCATAAATCAGAGATAGCAGGAATAACAATTTTGTCCATTTATACTTCGTGTTCAAAACGTGTTCTGATGAGGTTCATTTGAAGGGCTCAAAGAATACTCTTTATAGTCTTATATAAAATGGTTTCTGTATGTAGATTATTACAACTTACTTTATTCAAAGTTAAAACACAGTTGCAGTTTAAAGAAGGCAAATTATAGTCACGCTCAAAACCATGTTGTGTGTTGAAAGCCTATTTTTTTTTTTACTATTGCTGTAAACTGGACAGATAAACAGTCATTTTACCTGAGCCAAAAAATAGATCAAGAAACAGTGAAACAATCAGAATAAATAATAATAAATATCTCTAATTGTAAATTTTCAATACCTCAATAAATATAAGAATTTCTGCTGTTGCTAATTGTATAATAAATAAGATAGAATTCTACTTCCAAAAAAAAAAAAAAAGAATTCTACTTCCAAATGGTATAAATCATCAACGATTTATCCTAGGCTTGTGCTATTAGCACTAGAATGGGAAAGCTTCAAGTTGTATACATTTTAGCAAAATACCCCATCCCAGTTTATATTTTTAAAGCATAAGTTCTCTGAATCTTAGAAGGGGAATTCACTATCATATTACCCCTTTTTCCAGCCATCTCTCGAAGTAGTAAAATATTGACCTACTAAAGCAGAGAAATTGGCATTCCTGAGCCAAACTGAGAGCTGATACAATAGATTGAAGTAAAGATTCAGTTGCTTGGTTAGGTCTAAACAGTCACTAATGAGAAAATAATAAAATGTGTTTTTAATGTTATCTTAGTAATACTTATATAGGTTTCAGGTGTACAGTTCTATAATATGTCATCTGTATATTGTATTGTGTGTTCACCACCCAAAGTTAGACTATCCTTCCTTTTAATTAAGTTAAAAAAAAATCCTCAGTCATGATTTTCATCTTTCAATACCCATTAATCAGGTACCAATTTTAGTGCTCTTAAGATTTAGGATTGTGCTTATCCTAGAAATAAAATTTTATGAAAGATTTTAATAACAGACACTAAATAATTGAATGATGTAAGTCCCCGGTAGCTTTTCCTTTTAGTGATTAAGGGAATTAAATTTAAGATTTTTATCTAGGACTCCTTTAGTATGAAGTTAACATTTACTCAAATAGATTTCTTAAGAGTAGAATTTTAAAACAGGTACAGACTGAACTTTTTGTATTAGTTATGATTCTTTATTCTAACTGGTGCACATAGAAGAAGTAGGGAAACGAGCCTAATAATTAGTTGGGTGCTTTTTTGGTCAAGAAAACTTGAACTAGGTCTCTGGAAGGCACCTGCTGTGGGGAGTTGCCCACACTTTGGTGCAGCTCTCTGCCTGCTTGGTGGAGGGGCAGAGAGTTGCTGGAGCCTCTCTTGTAAGACCCTAATATTCCACACACGCTGCCTGCAGGGAGTGGAGCTCTTGAGCCCATAAAGCTTGAGGTCCCAGTCCTTGTATTTAGCACCCTCTGAACCCTCTCTCAGCTAGTAGTGATTTAAGGTGTTTTCAGGTAGACATGTTAGGGCCAGAGAAAAATTTTACAGATATTTTGGACCCTTAGCGCTCATTTCACAGCTATTCAGTGAATGATATTAGAAGGCTTGTCCTCTATATGAGACCCATCCCTATTTTCTTGGTACTAAAATTTGACCGGTCGGAGTCCTAGTATCATAATGTAAATACACTGTCACCCCAACCCACAGTCCCCAGATGATCTCAAGCAGACTCGCAGGCTTCTGGGGGGTATTATCCTGATGAGCACACAAGCCAATGCAGCGGGAACAGTGGCAAGCCACAGGCTGGCCTTCAGCACCTGGCCTCAGGAGCAGGGCTGGACTCCAGGTGCTTGCGCAGGTGGTTGGCAAAGTCCACCTGGGTCTGAGATAGGACTTGGTTGATGATAGTCTTTGGCAGCCATCCCTAGAGTAAAAGATGAAAGAATTGGGCCATCTTGTGGATGGTGGTCCACTCTAGACACCTCTGGATCCTATCACATTACAGTTTGGTCTTAGTCTTCCAGCTCTCTTTATAGGTGCAACCTTGTAATTGATGGGTCAAGGGCTGGAGGGACCGCATTGCTGCCCTGCTGTCCATGAGAGTGTCAGAAGCACAGGATATGTTCTCAAGACAAATTAAGACCTGTCTTCCCAGCTGTGTGGCCCCGAGCTAGTGAACACCCTTTCTGAGCCCGTTTAAAAATAATAATAATTATAGAGTTGAGATTTGATATAAGAGGTAAGAGGGGGCCATTGCAGGCTTTTGAGAGATGGTGAAATATCAAGCCATTACTCAAATCTCTTCTCCCTTCAACAGTAATTCTCTCTAAATGGAAGGATTTTTCCTATCCCATGTGGGAGTGATAAGAACCTATTTTTCTCTCGCCACCTTCCCTCTGGGCCTCCTCCCATGCCCCTCACCTTGAGGTCAATGCTGAGCAGCCAAGTGAGTTTGGTCTTTGATGGACTCCCAGCCAGAGGGTGGAGCACCATGCAAGTGGGGCCATGCTCGGCTCTGGCAATTAAAGAGAAGTTGAATTAGGAGGCTGGTTCAGTTCACTCATGCTGATGAGTTCTACTAGCATTGTCTTTCCAAATCTCATCAGAGAAGTGGCCTTTGCTAAGGTTGGTATTTAACAGTGGGCATGGTTCCCAGCTTATCAGAACAAATGCTGTTTAGAACTGGAGCTGGAACCTGGAGACTCCCTGTCATCCCTTTTAGTTACTGGGTAAGAGGGAGGTTGGGGAAAGAGTCTAGGGTGGTGGCTGCGGCCCCTAAGGAACTCAGGAAGCAGCTGGGTTCTAAGTGGTACGGATTATATTTTAATCACTAGTACAGCCACACATGACCATACCAGCTAAACCTCTTTAGAAAACTACTAAGGTCCTTAAAACTTTTGGGGGATCAGGATAAACTGGCTGGATAAGTAGGGCTAATCTTACCTTCCCTACAATGGAAAATGAGAATCTTCCTTTGTAAAAGGAAGCTGAGAGTAGGGACCAAGGATTGGGTTTCCGGAGCCACGTTTGGCCCCCAGGCCTGTCTGTGTTAGGAAAGCGAGCGTTTGAGCCTGCTGCCAGTATCACCTGATGACACCCTTCTGCTCAGGCATCTGCCCGAACTGCGTGGCCATGCCAGCCAGCACGCAGGTGGAGCCTCGGCGCTTGGCACAGCGCACACTCACGAAGTCCCGGGGCCCCACGAGGTTTCCTGCTGATTCTGCAGCCAGCTCGTGGGTGATCACCGTGTCTTTTCCAATCTTCTGCAGGACCTGCCAGACCACAGGGAGCTAGAGTCACTGCTTAGCCAGTGCCGGGGGTAAGGCAGCACCACTCACAGCTTTGGTCACCTTTCCAGCTGGGCTCTCCTGAGTCCCTGTCACTCACAACGGGGCCCTCCTCACCTTGATCTCCTTGACGTTGGGGTTCCACTCTCCCATTGCCTCCATGCGTTCCACAAGCTCTTCGTAAAGCCTCTCCATGGGCTGGTCCACCACCACCTCCAGCCGGAAAACCTTGCCCACGTCTGGGACCACTTTACTCAGCACTTTGTCTCCATTGGCCTGTCAGGGAGCGAGAGGAGCCCCAGGATAGAGTGAGAGGGAAATACTAATAGGTATTCCTACTCCAGAGAACATAACTCTAGGCAAAGCAGGAAGGAGACCTGGGACTATTTGAGTAAAACTGTGCAGGTGATCTTTCCTGCCACAAGCCTTGTACATCTTGAAGATCAGAGGTGAACGCTGATCAGAGGTGACTGCTCCCTGGGCCCTTTTTTCCTGGTGGCAAGTATTGATGGGCATGGGCAGGACCTTACTTGACTTCAGAAGCTCAAAGATCGTGGGAGTGAGGGAAAAAATCTGGTCTACAGCCAACCAATTACACACACAAAAATGGTGGGTAGGATTTTAAAAGATTTTTTTAGTCCAATATCTCATCCAAGAAAGATATAGGGCCAGAGAAGGTCAGAGATTTGCCCGGAGACCCTTAGCCAAGAGCACTGCTGGGCCTAAACCTCAGATTTCTTGACTCCCAATCTAGTAGTCTGTTACCTTGGAGAGGGAAAGCTTTTACCTAAACTTTGGGCAACAGGCAGCATGGAAGCTTCCAGTGAAGATAAAACCAAAATCTCAATAGATCCACTGGCCTCTAACATGTGCTCATTATTGGTTCCCAGTGAAGGTGCAGAGCTCAGGAGCAGAGAGCCCAGAAGGAGTGGGCCATCTGTGTTCCAGTCCAGCCCAGTCACAGGGGAGTCCAGGTCACTCTGCAAGCTCAGACGCCAGGGTCCTGGAACTGCTAGCCCAGGGTCCCTGCTGAATAGGTGTAAGGGTATTTGGAGGGTAGGATATAGGAACAATGTTTCTCAAATGCCAGTCTGAGGTGGGGGGAATACTTGAGGACATGTTCTTGGGGAAGGGAAATTCTCAAAACTACTTGTCGCCCAGTGACTACTGCCCAAGGCAGGAACTCTGAAGAGCAGGGTTAGAGGATGACAATGGCAGGGCAAGGAGCTGCGCGTGTTCCTCCACACACTCCCTCACCTGCTGGTTCTCCTTCTTCCAGCCCTCCTGGCTGCTGAGGATGCCCAGGGCCTTCTGCATGGCCTCCTCTCCTTGGTGGATATAGGCCAGCTCCCGGTCGCTGTAGAGAGTGTCTTCCAGCCGGGAACCTGGACACACAGCCAAGGAAAGACCAAGCTTCCTATCGGTCACCTAGCCTCCCACCAGCTTCCCTCCCTTTGATCTCTGGACCTGCCCTTTCCTCTGAAGAGCCAAGACCAAAGCCATAGGATTCAGCCTGCAGGTCAGGACATTGCTGCCGCAGGTGATAGGGAGAGGATCTGGGGGAGGGGAGGGACAAGGGCCACATGCACAGTGTTTGCACCTGGGGGCCGCGTGCCACTGGCAGGAGCCCCGAAGCCTCAGCACTTACCTAGCAGAGAACTCCGCCTCCGGACCTGATTAATCCACGCGCTCGGAGTCGGGCCCCCCAAGGCCCTCCGGTTCAGCTCCTGGCCAATGGCCAGCACAGCCTGGTGCCTCAGCCCTGCAGGAAGGGAAGGAAACTGTTGCCTGGGCATGTGAATGCTCCTTCCACCTCTTCCATCTTGCTGCAGATGAGGAGACTGGCTGGGAGAGGGAAGTGACTTGATTAGGAACTTACAGATTCCTGGCAGGGACCTGAACTAGAGGCAGGTGAACTCTCGGTCCAGGGCTCCCTACCCTGCACCAGGCTGCCTACAGGGCCCAGAAAACTTCCTTCCACCTGTGCTGGCTTGCCTGGTCCCACCTGGAGGCAGGAGCCACACCAAAGTTTCCCTCTTGAAAGAGAGAAGCTTTGTTCACACCAGAAAAATCCTGTCACAGCAGAATTGAAAACACCAGTCCCTGAGGGTCTTTGTAGCTCCCAGCAGCTGGGTTTTTGCTCTTCTGATGTCTTTCTGCTCCCCCACCCCCTTTTTAAAATATATTTTATTGATTTTTTTTTTTTTTTTTTTTTTTTTTTACAGAGAGAAAGGGAGTGGAATAGATAGTTAAAAACATCGATCAGCTGCCTCCTGCACACCCCCTACTGGGGATGTGCCTACAACCAAGGTACATGCCCTTGACCAGAATCGAACCTGGGACCTTTTAGGCCAACACTCTTATCCACTGAGCCAAACTTGTTTTGGCTTACTCTCCTTTCTTTTCCTTCTCTCCACCCACCTCTTCTTCCCTGCCCGTGTCTTAGGCTTGCCAGCATGGCTCATTGGAGTTGAGGCTTAGTCCTACCTCTACTACCGTAGCTAGTCCTTCCTGCTACCCTTGGGACAAACCCTGGAGGGAGGCTAAGTCAGGAAGAGTTCCAGGAAGATAGGAGCCCTGGAGGGGGGACCAGACATTTCAGAACCCACCAGGGACAAAGGCATCTTGATCTCCAGCCCAGTTCTTCCCATGGGAAAAGTGAGGTAAGACTTGCCCACTAAGAGGCACAGCTGGGATCTGGGATCAGAACCTGAGTGGCTCTCCCCCCGCCCCGTGTTTTCCCCACTAAGCCGGGTGCCTGAGAGTCCCGGCCACCACCACAGGCGCCCTCTCCCCAGGGAGCTCACCCTTCATGTTGCGCACGTGTCTGTAGGAGCTCCCAGCACAGAGCTTAAACGTTGCCTGGAGCATTGTCTCCTGGCGGCTGGTAGCGGTGATGTAGCTGCAGCGGCTGCTGTTGCCTCTGCTCTCAAAGGCGGCTCCTTCCGTCGAGCCTGTCAAGGTCTGCCTCTGGGTCCCGCAGCTGTGGCTGTGACCCTGTGTTCTGCGTCTTAAATGCTCCCCGCTGAAGGCTGCGGTTAATCGCAGGAGATAAGAAAGCCATCACTCACTGCTCAAAGGAAGGGGTCAAGGAGAGAGGGATTGCTTCACAGGCTGCTTTGGCCATTGGTGGGGAGAGAAGGGGGTGGAACGGGGCCAGAGGGGAGGAAAAGGCTGGGGCCAGCCGGGGCGGATGGAAGGGAGAGAGGAAGCAGCCGGGGTAAAGGCGGTCTAGAAGAATGCAGACACCATCCGACGTGGGGGACTGTTTGAAACAGGTTTCTAGCCCTCATCTTCAGAAACTCCAGACTTAAAGGGTCTAGAATCGAGGCTTTGAAAGCTGTCTGTAAAAAGTGTACCCAGGTGATTGCTCTGCAGGTGCTTAGGAAGATGGCGCCTCGGACAGCGCCCGGGGTGTCTGCTAAGAACTTAGGGGGTCGGAGCTGGTAGAGGCCATCCAGACCCCGGATGAGGAACCCAGAGTCCAGAGAGTGGCAGGGTTGGGACAGCAACACAAATCTCCTGACCTTTAGTCTGTCTCCTCGCAGCTCCTCCAGCAGCCCCCAGACGCTTTGTATGTTCAACCGGTCAATTATTTTCTCAGCCATTAATTACATAAACAACGTCACCAAAGCCCTCCTCCGAGACAGTTCCCCCTTCTTAGGGGTGTGTGCTGGCACAAGGATGATGCCTCGGGGCTGTGTCCTGTTAGCTGGTAAAGCAGAGGGTGGAACTGGCCAGAGACACAAGGAGAGAGAGGGGCCTGGGCCTGGCGTGCCCTACACCCTTTCCCACACTCTCCCCGGGGCCCAGGCGGGACAGGCTGCCCCCAAGCTCTTGGCATGAGCTGAGAAGACAGGGTCCTGGGGTGCTCACTCCAGTCTGCACTCTGGGGGCCTGTGTTCTAATCCTGAGGCAGCAGAGTCTCTGCTGTTCCCCATCCTCCACCCCACAGATGGGGGGGCGGGGGCGGGGAGGCTCACCCGCCCAGCCTGCATGCTAGCTGGCGAAATGCTAGCTCTCTGATGAAATCTTTTTCCTTTCAGTTGGGCCTTGAAGTTGCTTTTAAGCCAGATTCACCTGGCAACAATATTGGGAGGCCAAAAATCACACTGATTTGCCGCTGGCCCAGGCCTTCCTCCGTGAGAGTTCCCTGCTCTGTCACGGCTGTCCGGAGCAGGTCCTCACCACCTCCCACTGTCTCCCTCACTCTAAAAAGGATGAAAGAGACAGGACCTGCTCAAAGCCAGGCCTGGTGCCTGGAGCCCTCACCCCCCATTTCAATCCCTGGGGCAGCAGTGGGAAGGGGCCAGCAGTGGCTGCCAGGAGGCCCCTGGCCCATTCCGAGGGCCCACTGTGGCCCCGCCTCTGTGCAGCCTTCCTTCTGGAATGACTTGTTCCTTTGACTCACACCCCTAGGGCATCATCTCTCCCTCCTGATTTGTGGAATGGTTTGTGTGTGCAATTGTTCCTTCTGTGGGACTGTTTGTCCCTGAGGCAGGTGCCTCCCCTCACCCCAGCTCCCTCACCCCCCAGCACAGCTTCAAGCTGGTCACAAGAGCAGGTGCTTGCTCCTTCTCTATTGGATGATCAATAGGGGAAGCAGCTGGGGGTGCAAGTATGTCTTTTGAATGAGGAAATCTGCCTGTGGGCTTAGCCAGCTCCCAACCTTCTAAGAGCCCCAAAGGGAAGACAGGACCGCAGCAAGAGGCCTTGGCTTCTGTTGTTCATTGTGTGGAGGTGGCGTGAGGGGGGCTCTGTCTTTCGTAGACTTGAAGGAGAAGGTGCAGGTGGCTGCTGAGGCAGCTGCTCCTGCCTTCCTGGTACACGTGCGCCCTCGTGCACATGTGCGTCCCAGTGGAGGCGGTGGGAGGGAGTTATTATGGGACAGGCCCTGCAGATAATGTTCAAGGCCCTGCTGTTGCCATCCCGAGAATTATGGCCACTGTGAGAGGGAGGAGGTGGTGTGGGGACGCTGGAGGACTGAGGCATAGGGCTGTTGCTGATGTCAGAGGCAGCCATTGACTCAAAGGAGGAGGGTGCTGGTGACCTCCCCAGGCCAAGGCTTTCTTCTCTTCCTCAGGCCGAATGACCGTTAACTCTGCCTCTCTGTCTAAGGTGGGGAGAGAGGTCTGGGAATTTTCTCTGGTTCTGGATGTCACCTGTATCTGGCTTTGCTTCTTGATAAGAGCAGAGACACCGTTCCCCCCCCCACCACCACCACCTCCCCGCACCCCTCCTCCCCTGCCCAGATATTTTATTCAGCTTGCACACTCTTTTAAGAAAAAAAATTGAACTACTTATGTTGCCAACATAAACTATACAGACAGAAAACAGACCAGTGGTTGTGAGGGGCTGGGGAAGGGGAGAGACATTAAATACAAAGGGGCAGGGGTGATGGTATATAACTAGATGCAGCTGTTAGAACGCAGACACCAAAACGAGTGCATTTTACAGGAGGTAAATTATACGCCCATAAAATTGGGTCTTAGAGATGGGATTCCCAGACAACATGCTCAGCATTGAGCCCTCTCTCTTCCTTCAAGTCCCGGCTACAGATTGGCTGGTGCCCCAACACCACACAATTCTCTGTATTTTCAGAGCGACGTCTGGAGCTCATTTTTTTTTTTTTTCAGAAAGGCTAGTTTTTGTTTGTTTGTTTTTTTTTAAATATATACATATACATACATACATACATATATATATATATATATATATTTAATTGATTTTGTACAGAGAGAGAGATAGGGAGCTAGAAACGTCGATGAGAGAGAAACATCGACCAGCTGCCTCCTGCACACCCCCTACTGGGGATATGCCCAGAACCAAGGCACATGCCCTTGACCGGAATCGAACCGGGACCCTTCAGTCCTCAAGCCGATGCTCTATCCATTGATCCAAACTAGTTTCGGCGGAGTTCATTTTTATCCCTGGTCTAGCCAAGTGGCAGCAACAGCTACTGAGTGGCTGGAATTAGGGGGATTTTTTTTTTTTTTAAATTATGTAAAGGGGAATGGGTAGAAAACAGGAAAAAAGGACCTGATTTTATTCTCTGCTTCAAGTCTCTTGGCAGAACCCAAGGAGTTGACAGGTTGGGGAGTCCTAACCAGGCAGACGGACCCAAAGTTTGAGATAGGTGAGTAGCTGATATGCTCCATTTCCTAGGGTTGGTTTTTCTCATTCTTTTAGGCTAGAAGATCTTGGGAGGGGGATAGGAACATTTACTTTTGATTTTGGCTCCCTTATCTGGACATAAGCCCTGGAAAAACAAGCACCCATGAAGCTTCAATTTGGAAGGTTGGTTCAGCATTAGTGTATCAGCCTGCAACATCTACACCTAAATGCCTTATTTGTACCTCACTGGGAATGCTGGCTCCTAATGAGAAAGGAAAATGGATGTTTATCTTTTTTAGTATGATTTAGGTGAGAAATGCCACACACACACACACACACACACACACACCTACGTGTGTGTGTGTGTGCGCGCACGCGCGCATATATATATATATATATATATATATATATATATATATATATATATATATATATATATATAGCCAAGGGGTAGGAGACTGCTTATTAATTCCCTCTCCTCTATTTTCTTGCCAGATACAATTCCTGGGATCCATTTCTTGAGCTGTGCAGTGCCACCATTAATGTCATGTACAAATCTGAGACAAGAGGTTGGGAACTGCCCACAGTAGGTGTGTGGACTCTGCCTGCTGGCCTACACCTTCCACTGTCTGCACTACACTCTGCCTGGGACTGCCAGCCAACACTTGTGAGACCATTTTCCTTGTCTTCTTTACCTCTGTGCAATACTTGTGAGGTTCACATCGACACAGCTTCCCTGAGGGACCCTCCATAATAGACAGTATAAGGGTATCTGGCTATTGTTAGGTTTTCAGGGCCTTTTGGGAGTTTATCAGACTTGGGGAGGGAAGCAGATAAGTGTGGTTTAAACTCAGCTAAGAGCATGCAATATAAGATCAAAGGCCAAGGAAAGAGAGAGACCAGCTGGAAGAGTAAGAGATATGCTGCTATACTCAAATATATCAGAATAAAGATGGCCAGGAGAGGGGTTCAGTAGATCTTCCTTATTTATCTCCCTTGAAAGCAGTCTCATGGGAACCCTATTGGAAGAAATGATTAAAAGATAAAATAGGCCCAAGCTGGTGTGGTTGTTGGTCGAAGTATTGTCCCGTACACCAGAGTTGCAGGTTCAATTCCCCATCAGGACACATACCCAGGTTACCCAGGTTGCAGGTTTGATCACTGGTCAGGGGAGGTGTACCTCCCCCTTCCATTCAATAAAATCAATTAAAAAACAAAAAAGATAAAACGAAGGTATAAATAGGGAAAAAAAAGCATGATTTCAATATCTGCAAAAATCCTGGACTGTGCATAGCTGAGAATAAGCACTTCACGGAACATCCTGGAGACGAGGAGGAAGTTAGCTGGTAGTCTAGTTTCATTTGTTACATCTAATTCTTCAATGCTGTCTGCAGGACAAAGGTCTAAAAGCAATGACCCGAACCTTGCTATGATTGGGAAATTCTGTTAAAATTCAGTCTCCTCCTTTAACATAATAAATTATAACTCTTGCTATTGTGTTTGAAGTTAAAGAAGGTTGAAAAAACTAGATAACTAGAATCCAAATTCCTTGCAAGTATCCAAAGTTTTGAAACAGTGGTGCTTAAAAAAACAAATGCTGTAATCTTGCTGACTCCCAAAGAATATTATCTAGTTAGATATGTTTTCCAAAAATTGGTGATGGTGTTTTTCTCCCTTTGTATCAGTAGTTAAAAATAAATTCTAGTTATTAAATGGTTAGAGGCACAACACACTTGATAAAACATTAAGTACAGCTGTTTCTTTACAAATTGTTAAAATCAATTCAGTGATGAAGAGCTCAGCAATCAAATGGTTTATAGGCATCTGGGGCAGTTTTAAAAACACCTGAGCTCATAAAATATTAAGTCTATGTGGTGCTAAAAAATAATTCAAAGGATATGCATATAAACCTTATGAATAGGACATCTTTGCTCAATGAAAAGGAAGTGTCTGGAATAATTCCAGTTAAAAACCCCCTGAGAATTCAGAAGAGACTTGCTCAAGCCCAAGGTGCCAGGGGTAGAAAAAAGTGAAAACTTTAACACAAACTCCTAAATTCTACCTCAGTACACTGTCCAATGAACTACACCATCCTCTCTGTGAGCAGCCTGTTAAACTTACCATGCAGTCAACATCATACCAGAAAAGTGGCATCACTCTGGGGGATCAGCAGGAATAACGGAAATGTATTAGCCACTGAAACACCATTTTGTTTGTGCTCCGTTTTGTTGAGAATAGCATAAGAGGCTCAAGATTCAATCCAAAGGGCTAGAACACTGAACTAAACAGAGAAAAAGTCACCTTCGTTAAATGCTGGAACTCAGGGGAACCTTGTTCTGAATAGCTGTTGGTGAAGCAGAACAGCAACTTTAGTAGTGATGTTGTTTCTCACACCTGAGGCTGTTATAACCAATAACTGTGCAACTTTACCAAAAGCCCCTTCCTGAAGGCTGTAATGTGTTTTTCTCAGCGGGGGGAGAAGAGAAGACCACAAGACACCTAGTATGAAAATATTTCTTCCTAAGTAACTATCGATAGCAACTTGGAAGTGTGACAGAGGGGAAATCCCAGTGTGTGGACTGGTTATACCTTTGAGAACAGAAACTTAATTTTGCTTATTCATTGGAGGAAATAACTTGGGAAATAATATGGCAACTTTGAGATTCATATTTTATTTACAAGCAAGTGAAGACTGTGCCCTGTAAACTCTAATTTGGGATGAGAAGAGCAACATAGAAAAGTAGTTGCTGGCTCCATAGCGATGTGTGAAAGGAGTCCATCCAGCTATTTCTTTAGACAATGATTTTGTTCATAAAAAGGAAAAAAAGCCACATGATTTCTTCATGTTATACATGTGAAAGAATCCAAAAGAAAAACTTTTCAAAAGTCCACAGTCTCTAGTCAAATGTGTGAGGTGACCAGAACGTCATTTTCATTCAGTGAGAGCCCCTGCTCCCCAAGAGCAAAAGACTTAATACTCATCAAGAGTGTCTGCTCGAGGAATGGAGAGACCTCGATCTTTAAGAGCCTGAACTTTCATCTTCTCGTTTTCCAGCTTGGTCTGCTGTTCTATCCTTTGTTCTTCTAGGATGTCTTCAATGGACACTTGCTGCAAGGGTGTGTCACTCTCCTTTTCCAAGTCCTACAAAACAAGCAGATTTAAGACACTCCAGCTGACCAAGAACAGGAAACACGGCAGATCTCAAGGCAAATGGATTCTATGTCAGGCTTGGGTTATTTTTTCATAATTGTGACATGGCTGAAATATCCTTCTCCTAGAAATGGATAAGTTTTACAAAGAAATAGCTGGCCACTCTACTATAGAGTACTTACATGAATGTGATAATAGGATCAGTTACAGTGTGTATTGTGTATAACAAAACTTTAGGTTATCTGAAGTCCTATACTACTCAACAACTACTTTTCTTAAAAAAAAAACACAACAAAAACAAACAAACAAAAAACCCCCTAAATATATAAATAAAATAAGGCTCACTTTCCAACTCAAGAGAATCCGAGAGAGAAGTTACCGAGGCCAAGATGGCTTCAGTTAAGTTTTGTATATTTACATTATCAAATCAGCTTAAATTCTGGTGTTGTTGCTCAGTAAGGTAGAGAACACTGAGTCAAAGAAGGACCTCCTCCCACCAAAGACAATAAACTGTCCCTCTGTTGCATTAACTAGGAGTCTTTAAATAACACAAGACTCCTTTCCCCTCTATGACAAGTCTTCTAGAGAAAACCTCAGCAGAGCAGTTAGATTACCACACCAGTTCAGTCCCAATATAGTTTTCTATTTGAATTAAAATTGTTTTGCTTACTGCCCTGCCTGGTGTGACTCAGTGGAAGAGTGTCATCCCATAAACCAAAAGGTGGTGAAATTTGATTCCTGGTCAGGCGTTTACGGGAAGCTACTGACCAATGTTTCTCTCCCTCTTCCTCTCTCTCTCAGCAACTAACCAATGTTTTTCTCTCTTTCTGTCTCTCAATGAAATACATACTATAATGGGGTGAGGATTTTACAAAATCATTATTTTACTTACTAAAATAATCATTTTTGCCATTATTTAAAAACACACACACACATGCTCATTATATGATATTTAAAAACTGGCCAACCAGCCCCCTAGCCAGTTAGGCTCAATGGATAGAGCATCAGCCTGGGGACTAATGGGTCCCAGGTTCCATTCCGGCCAAGGACGTGTATCTTGATTGCAGACTCCTGGCCCTGGTTGAGGTGCATGCAGAAGGCAACCAATAGATGTGTTTCTCCCATATCTGTTTCTCTCTCTGTCTCTCCTTCTCCCTTCCCCTCTCTCTAAAAATCAATGCAAAAATATCCTAGGGTGAGGACTAAAAAAAGATGAAAAAATAGACAATAAGAAAAAAATCTTTAATTCCAGTATGGAGGAATAACATATTGGTGAATAACTTTCCAATTTTTCCATGTATATATTGACTTCTTAAAAGACCCACAATACAAATATTGACTATAATTTTTCATCTTAATATGGCATAAGACGTTTAATACTTTTATTGATTTCAGAAAGGAAGGGAGATGGAAAGAGAGAAACATCAATGATGAAAGAAAATCATTGATGGGCTGTCTCCTGCACGCCCCCAACTTGGATCGAGCCGCATGTGCTCTTGACTGGAATCGAACTCGGGACCCTTGAGTCCACAGGTCGACACTCTATCCACTGAGCCAAACCAGCTAGGGCAATACTTTTATTTTTAAATAACTTATAAACATTTGATAACCAATCGTGTAATGCAGAATCTTGCTATAAGAGCATCTCACTATTATCCATAGATTCAGTTTATTCTCTTTAAAATGTACTTAGAGGTATTATTCTGTTTTGTAACTGATAAGCCTATACAAACAGGGTATTCTTATTTCTTATCCTCTTCCCCTTTCAGTGATAAAATTCTGAAAAGCCATTACACATACACAAACTCTCCAAATGTTCCACTGAATGCTAATCTTCAGATGCCACCAAGGCCTCAGAACCCACAGATTGTGACACATCAGATGGAGGACTCTCACCAGAGAGGTTAGATGAAAGCCACACAAATGACATAAACAAAAGCTGCCCTGAGTCAAATGTTAACTCACTCAGAAAAATCTATGTTATTAAGTGTAACCTGCCCTTATAACCCATGGATAACAGCTGAAGGGAAGATCATGTTCTTAGCTTAGCTTACTGCCTCTTGGAATTGTCAGTATGTTGCTCATTGAGCTATTCATGTGGTTATAATGATGCTGTTTCCCAAGAATCCTACTTGTTACTTTAGACTTTGTCCACCATCCTTGAGGCAGAATCCAGGGACTTTCTAAGTAATGAAATATTTGCAGAATCTAGATGGCATCCCTAGGATTGGCACTTAATTTCTTCAAACTGACTACTGATTCATGTAACTATGTAAGCATTCCTGTTTTTCTTTAGTATTACCATTGCAAAAATTCTACAGCATCCAAACCATAATATATAAAAAGAGTACTTTTCTCCACAAAAGGGCTACCAGGATATAATAAATCTGTAAGAACAAACACAAGTACATTCATTTCTCTTCACATATACATACATCTACAAAGGGTCAATTTGTGCCAATGTAACTGGCATAGAAAGCATTTCTGTGATGTTCACTATTGTAAATCTGAAGCAGAGTATGTGTGAATATTTTAACCTAGCTCGTTATCCCCAGTAGCAATAGATCTCCTCTTCAAAAATTAAATTCAGAAAAGTATAAAAGAAGAAAAAAATATTCAGCCATAATCCAACTGACCAGAGAGCAGTTAGCCCCTCTTAATATACTGGCAGACTACTTTACAGCCACATCTCCAGGTAGAGTGCTTTATTTCAACCTTTACATAACACACGGAGATAATTTCTGCTGCACAAACATGGAAGAAATGATACACTGAACCAAAAACATCAACTACAAAAATATTTTAAAAATTAGAAAAAGGCATGTCATAGCCACACTCGGGCAGTATTGTGTAATCATTTCCAGCTAACTATTTCATACAAGGTCTCTGAACCAACTGGACCCTGACAGAATTACCTCATTTTCTTAAATGGCTTATTGTTAAAATGAATCACTACTCTCAAAACCTGATTTAAGATGTGGCTAGACAATGGACACAAAACTCTGGGGAGGGAGGGTATGTATTGGGGGGGGGGGCAATGTTAAAATATGTACACAGATAATAATTTAATAAAAAAAAGTAAAAAAAAAAAAAAGATGTGGCTAGATATTGGGAACTTTACTGAAAACTTTAAAAACAAAATAGGAAAAGATAAAATCAAGCAAACATCAAAATTTTTATCTTTATTTTCATGGACTCAATAATCAGAAGTAGCAGGATCAAGTCAAAAGTATTATTAAATAAGGTATTTTTAAGTTATGTTTCATGTAAAACATGAAATCAGGTTTATCTTTTTAAAATGTTGAGTACTTCTTAGTTTTATATATAAAATTGGGCATAAGTAGGTTTATAGTTGTGAGTATAGGAAACAGTTTATTCTTATATTACTAATTAATTACTGTATTCTTTATCATATGAAGAAATGTAAACCTACTTTTGTCCTGCCCTGAATATAAGTTTTCTAATAGCTTTGTGTGTGTGTGTGTGTGTGTGTGTGTGTGTGTGTGAAGGGAATACCTCAGTGCAAGACCTGCTTTGAAGAGTAGTCGCACCCAAGCTAACTATCATAATTATCAAGACCCATGCCATAGCAGCTTAACAGTTTTCACTTTAAATATATATATATACACACACACACACACACACACACACACACACACACTCTCTCTCACACACCCTAGAAGATTTAACTTCACACCTGCCAGCTAGTCGTCTTCTTCCAAAAATTGGTTGTGAGCTAAGGATTCAAGTGAAGCTGACTGAACTCCATTACCAGGATAGTTTACAGAAAGGCTTCTCCTATATCCATTCCTTCCCCTCCCCCCTATAAGAATATACAGATATCACACTGAATATGCAATGTGTCTTTCCTCCCCAAACACAGCTAACGTTGTTATAAAAAACTACTTATAACCAACTGCTTAAATAACTACAAAATGTAAATGTATATAAATCTTTATCAAATCATTCTTTTCTAGTTTTTCAATTTTCTGCTATTAGAAATAGCAGAAATTTGTTAATGAACACATTTGCAGAATGGTAGTTTTTGAAGATATTAGGTAAAAATCAATGATATTTTGCTGCTAATGGGATAAAATGCCAAGAGGCACTGAAACAAAGTTAATTATCTATAACTTTCCTTTTACAGTTGTGGCTTTTCTAAGCTAATTTGGTGTTTTCCTGTGAGAATCTGGGTGAAATGTGTAAAATGTATTTTTTTTTCTTCTTGAAAAGACCAAAAAAAAGCTAACTATCATAATTACCAAGACCCATGCCATAGCAGCTTAACAGTTTTCACTTACTATTTCTCCTAGTAGGACCACATTTTCTCCTCTGACCACAAAAATCCCTCGAGGAATATCACCGTATTTTTTGCCCACATGAATACGCTCCACAGTCTGATGTAGCACTAAATTAGCTATAAGTGTATAGGGAAAAAACAAAGATATTCAGTTTAAATTACTGGGTAAAGGTCTTCAACTCAGTTATTTTGAGTAAAAAAGATTTAGTTAAGCATGATTTTAAAACTTTCTAATTTTAGGAAAAGCTAAAATTTAAAACACAATCTCCTATTTCTGTATGACACACCACTTAGATGTTTAACCAATTATCTAGGATCATGTTGCACTAATACATGAGTGATGGTGGGGAAAAGTTTAAAAAAATTAAGTTCATTTATCAGTTAACTGTTAAAATGAACATGGCTGTAAGAAAATATAAGTAAGTAGGGCACTTGGAAGACTAAACAACTGCAAAGATTAAAACTTTAGTTTTTTCTATGTTGTGGCATGTGTATACGTGACGAGTTACCAAAATTTAACTTTGTTTCAGTACTTAGGATTTACTCAACCCAATACAAGCATCCATGAATTATGATACAGCAAAAACCTATATTTTCATTTTGTCAGATAACCATACCTGGTAATCTGAGAGTAGGCAGAATTTATTACTTTTCACTCAAAGTAGTCTGATGAATTTGACTTAAGATTTAAAACCCTGCCCTGTTGGTGTGGCTCAGTGGTTGAGTGTCGACCCGTGATCCAGTTCAATTCCCAATCAAGATCATGCCTAGATTGTGGGCTTAATACCCATTGGGGAGTATTTAGGAGGCAGCTGATCTATGTCTCTCTCTCACTGATGTTTTTATCCTTCTCCCTCTAAAATCAATAAAAATGTATTTTTTTAAAAAAAAGTTTTAGAATTCCCAATATGTTAAGAATCATTTAATATAATACTTTAATAAAAAAATAAAAAAGGGACCATTATTTCTTTGCATTTGTCTTATTTGAAGAAAGCAGGTATCTATATTCTTTAACTTCTATAATTCTTATAAGTGTTTCAATTACATTGTTATTTTCCTCATGCCCAAGACCACTGACCTAGATGATGTCCAACAAATGAAATAAGAAGTTTCTTGAAACAAAAGCAAACACAGATCTTTTTAGAAAAATACAGATGCAAAACAAAGACCGAAACTCTTGAGTATGATGATGTATCCTTAAGTGTAAAATCTTGAGCTTAATGTTGGGGTCCCTAACAAACTTCAGAAAGTGCCGTCTATTCAATTTTCATTGGGCAGGGAGGGAATACCTTCGTGCAAGACCTGCTTTGAAGAGTAGTCGCACCCCAACCAATGTACAAATGAGCAGCTTTTTCAGTGGACTGAGTTTATTTTATCTTTTGGCTCCCTCTAATGGGGAAAATAAAAACAATAGTCCAAGACATTATAATCCTATGTTCTAGTGAAAACCAGTTTAGAAATACAAGCTTGAAAATACAAGCTTTTGAATCATCTCGTCATAATTTAGGAAACAGTGATGTAATGACTCAGGACAGTATTCCATTATACCAGACACATGAAAAAGTTGCAGATAAATACCTTACAATATGAAATAACAAAAATACAATGGGCGGTTCTTGTTATCCAGAGTATAAGAGAAGTCTATTAACTGATACATACCAAATTGGTCAATGCTTCTCAAAAAGCCTATAAGTGTCCTTCCATCTCGAAGTAGGACCAAGTGCTTTTCTGGGAACAGGAAAAAAAAAATCTTTAAAAACGGAAAACTGTTAGCTTCAGTGAGCTTACAAGGTAACAATAAATATAAAGTTGATTGTTTAAGCTCTACCACTTCCTCTTCCAATGTATTTAAATTGGAGTTCTTAAGAAATTGGAGGACCAAGTTTAGATTAAAACAGCAATTTTCAAACAGTGTGCACCAGGAATTCTATTGTTGTTGCTTTTTTTTGAGAGGAAAAAAGAGGAAGAGAGAAATAAAATATCAATGTGAAAGCGAAACACTGATTGGCTGCCTCCTACATCCCCACTATCAGGGATGGAGCCTGCAACCCGGGCCTGTGCCCTGAATGGAATCTAACCAGTAATCTCTTAGTGCAATACTGATTTAGTCAGGGGCACTAATCTTTCTCTAGACTGTCAAATAAAAAAAAGGACAATAGCCAACAAAACAATAGCTATCTGCTGTGAATGAATCAAAATAGTATCTTTGCCCTAACAGGTTTGGCTCAGTGGATAGAGTATTGGCCTGTGGACTGAAAGGTCCCAGGTTTGATTCTGGTCAAGGGCATGTACCTTGGTTGCAGGCACATCCCCAGTAGGAGGTGTGCAGGAGACAACTGATTAATGTCTCTCTCTCATCGATGTTTCTGGCTCTCTATTCCTCTTCCTTCCTCTCTGTGGAAAGTCAATAAAATATATTTTAAAAAAATAAAGTTTGCATATCCCAATAGGGATGTCGATCAAATTACTGTGGTTTTTGTCCACTTGAAATAGCAGAGAGGTCAGAATTGGAGAGAGAAGTTTTGGATAAGGCTACAATAGGTGATATAATTATTAAAGTCCAGGAGATCTCCTACAGACCTAAGAAAGAAGAAACAGGCCAAACAGAGAGGTGATATAATATTTTTTTAAAAAAATATATTTTATTGATTTTGTACAGAGAGGAAGGGAGAGAGAGAGAGAGTTAGAAACATCGATGAGAGAGAGTCATCGATCAGCTGCCTCTTGCACACCCCTACTGGGGATATGCCCGCAACCAAGGTACATGCCCTTGACCGGAATCGAACCCGGGACCTTTCAATCCCCAAGCCGACGCTCTATCCATTGAGCCAAACCGGTCTTGGCGAGGTGATATAATATTAAAGTCCCCGAGATTTCCTAGAGACTTAAAGAAAGGAGCAGGCCAAAGAAAGAACCCAAGAGACAATCTATTTTAGGGAACAGTAAGAGTTGAAATAAGAAAACCAAGTGCCATTTTAGAGAAATCAAGAGCACAGATTAAGAATCTAGTTTCATAATATAATAGTATCATCACAATGCTGCAGAGCGGAAGGGAAAACTCAGGAGTGCATTATTAGACCACTGCCTTTTAAGAATGGAGCTACAGCAGTGTGCTCATAACAAAAATCAATTATTGTTTGGGGTAATAGAGGTGGTCTATTGCAGATGCTCAGAAAGCATCAAAATGGAGATGACTCAAGAGGTTTGGGGGTAAAGATAGAAAAATAGGGATGGAAGTTTGATGGGGAGACACAACTGGGGAAAACAACAACACGAGGACAGAATAGAACATAAATGAAGGGAAAAATCCAGGGAGAAAATGGATATTGATAGAAGGTTCCAGAAGCAGTGGGAGGAAAGACATAAATTGAAAGGGAGAAATACTTCCTACTCAAATGAAAGGATGGGTGAAAATACCAGAAAGACTAAGGAGAGAGGAGGAAAGCGAAGGGGGAGGGAGCAGTGAAAGGCACATATGAAATAGTTTCAAATTTTTCAGTTAGAGGAAGCTTGGAATCTACAAAAAAAGAGGTTAGAAGGCTTGAGAACAAACATTATTTTAAAGATTTTAAAAATTGATTTTTAGAGAAAGGAGGAGAGAGAGATCCCCTATTGGGGATCCAGCCCGAAACATGGGCATGTGCTGTGACCAGGAATTGAACTAGCAACTTTCTGGTCCACAGGATGTAGCCCAACCAACTGAACCCACACCAGCAAAGAGCCAAAAATTATTATTATTATTTAAAAAAATATTTTATTGATTTTTTACAGAGAGGAAGAGAGAGGACAGAGAGTTAGAAACATCGATGAGAGAGAATCATCAATCAGCTGCCTCTTGCACACCCCCTACTGGGGATGTGCCCGCAACCAAGGTACATGCCCTTGACTGGAATCGAACCCGGGACCTTTCAGTCCACAGGCCGACGCTCTATCCACTGAGCCAAACCGGTATCGGCCCAACAATTATTTTTAATAAAATTACATAGTGTGTTAGGGCCTGAAATAATATAGATATACACAGAGAGGTGAGGGCAAAAGGGCATGCTAAACTTAACCTAAAACTTAAGTTTTCATTACATTACTTTTTTTTTTTACAGTGGTTATTTATATGATTCTGGTCCAATTTACTCTACATTTCCCTTCAATAGCAAAATCACTAATTTAGATTTTAAAAAAATAATTTCAGACGATAAAAAGTTTAATTATACACTCAATCTTTAATTTGCATACATAGTGACTGTAGAGACTTGTAACTTGTTTGGAACTATGTATAATCATTTTGCAGCAATTGCAAGTTAATGAGACAAATCACACGATTTAAACGATTACAAAAATGTTACATGAGGAATAATTCACAAAAGGAAAGAGGGGACAATGTAACTGGCTCCTGGTTGGTACAGAAATGAGCTCCCTCCTCTTCAGGACAATGGTTAGGAACAGGGAGGCCTTCTTAGTAAAAGCAACATAAAATGGTCTGACCGGGGTGGGGGTGGGAAGAAGTTTCAAGTGACTCAGCCTTTCCAGAAAAGCCCATCAGTACCTTGCCTGGCACTGGTCTCTACTCCCACAACCTGAAAGTGCTAAGGACCCTCACAGTGAAGTATTGCAAATGGCTACAGAGTTTATGCATAAACCCTACGTATACGGCCAATTAAATCCAAATGCTGTTGTCTTAATACTTTCATGTCTTGAATCCTTCCTCTAAGTATTTCCACCAGTAATAACTGGGTACATGGAAATGTCGCAGAGGAAGACAGTTGACTGGCGGGGGGACAAATTTCGCATTTGGTCCTCTGCAGAGAAGGACTGAGCTCTCCGGGGTGTGGCTGACCGGCCAGCGGACCGGGGCTGCGAGGAGCAGGACGGACACGGGAGGTGGGCAAACGGCAAACACCAAACGCCCAGAACTGTGCCCTCCGCCCCACACTCATTCTACGAGCTCCCTGGCCGGGGAGGAAGGGGCTCGCCCAGACTTCACTCGAAGGAAATGAGCGACTCACTGTCGATGTCCTCGATGAGGCTGGCGGTGCCGGGCATATAGTTCATTTTGAGCTGAGATAAGGCTGCCATGCGGAGCGGCGAAGAGCAACCAGCGCGTCCAACACCACCTCCCTCCTGCCGCAGTCGCCGCCTCGGCGGGACTGGGACGGAGAACCCGGACGGGGACCCGCTCTACTGCCCCGGCTTTCAGCCGCCGGGGCACGCCGGAAGCTCCTCCATATTATCCCTGCCCACTTCCGGTATCACGTGCTGCCTCCAGGAAGAGGCGGGGCCATCGTGCGGTCCTGGGACACCCCTTCCTCATCCCTGAATAGAGAGGGGAAAGGAACCTAGATTGCGCAGACGGCGGGAAGATGAATCCTCCTTTTTAAGGGACACGGCGCTGACCCCCGTTTTCCTGATCCCTCGACCCCAGAGTCGCAGAGACCCAGCCCTCAACCCTCCGGACTCCGGAGCCGAGGGGGCGGGACTTGGCCTGCGATTGGCTAGCGTTGGCCGACCCCCTTCACCGCTGTCCATTCCCGCTCGCCGGCTGGCGCCTGCGCAGTGGGCGGCTGTGGGGGGCGGGAAGCTCCTAGGGGCAGTAGAGCCCATGTCGGCCCTCAGGCGCTCGGGCTATGGCCCCAGTGATGGCTCGTCTTACGGCCGCTACTACGGGCCTGGGGGTGGAGACGTGCCCGTGCACCCACCTCCGCCCTTATATCCTCCTCGTCCCGAACCTCCCCAGCCTCCCATCTCCTGGCGGGTGCGCGGGGGCGGCCCGGCGGAGACCACCTGGCCGGGAGAAGGCGGAGGAGGCGATGGCTACTATCCCTCCGGAGGCACCTGGACGGAGCCAGGTCGAGCTGGGGGAAGCCACCAGGTAAGCTTTGCGCCATTTGCCTTTAGGGGGTTCTTTGGGGGCCATGGAGAGAGATGTACCTGCGGAGTTCGTGAAGGATCGGGTGTCATATTTGTTTACCTTTTGGGGAAGTACGCAGTGATGAGAGACTGGGATCGCGGGTCCGGGGCGGGGGGGATATGCTCGTGTTTTCGTTGTCCCTCCTTTTCCACGGCGACCCAAATAAATGTGTATTAATTAGCATTAAAAAAGGAAAAAAAGATCGTTGCGCTGACTCGCTAAGCTAAATAGAGGGTTCGATTCCGGTCAGGGGCAAATATACCTTGGTTGCGGGCACATCCCCAGTAGGGAATGTGCAAGAGGCAGCTGACCGATGTTTCTAACTCTCTATCCTTCTGTCTTCCTCTCTGTAAAAAATCAATAAAATATATTTTTAAAAAATAAATAGAGGATGCGGAATCTCTCGCCTGGGAACGGTGACGGGCTGAAGGGACCCAGCTCTGCTTGTCGAGCTCTCGCAATGGATCCTGCGCGGCCCGTCAGGCCGGCCCTTCCTGCGCGGGGAGGCGGCCGCAGCCCCGCCGCCCCCCCGCCGCCCCTCCCGCGCGGGGCAAGAACGCGAAGGATCCGGGCGGGGAGGGAGGGATCGGGGCAGTTAGCCTTTGCCCTGAATGCTTTGCCCAGGGCTGAATCACGAACAAGCAAATGTTGCGAAGCACTTTCACCTGTGTGAGGGAATTTATTTAATCTTCACACGGCGGCTGCAAACAGACATGTTATTACACACAGCATCTCTTATTTTACGATCAAAGAACCGTTGGCTCTCAGGGGTCAACTTGTTTGCTCATCAGTATAATCCGACCTGTGCCATTTTACTTCTTGTGTTTCTGCCTGGAAAGCTACAGTACTAGTAATGCTTTGTTAATGCAGTGTTCGTCCTAGAGAATTCCCATAATGTGGTGTGGGACTCATTGCTCCTTTCGTTCAGGAATTATAGCATTCTCATGGCTGGGAAGATGTAACGGTGAAATTCCCATACATTGCTGATGGGGATGTAAAATGGTTCAGTGCTTCGGAAAATGGTTCGGCAGTTGCTGAACATGTTAGGCGTAGAGAGAGCTAGCATATTACTCAGCAAGTCTGCTCTTAGAGATACATCCAAGAGAACTGAAAATATATGTCCACATAAAAACTTGTACACGTATATTCAAATTCAAGTAGCCAAAAAGTGGAAATAATGCAAATGCCTAAAAACTGAAAAATGGTATATTCATACAATGGAATTATTTAGCCATAGAGAGGAAAGAAGTACCGATATATAACATTCTGCAACCTGAATGAACCTGGAAAACATTCTGCTACATGAACAAAGCCAGTTGGAAAAGACCACATGTTTTATGATTTCATTTATATGAAATATCCAGATAGGCAAATCTATAAAGATAGAAAGCTTACTGGTTGCCAGAGTCTGGGGGACTGGGGACATTGGGGTTGGTAGATAAAGGGTATGGTTTTTTTTGTGGGGGATGATGAAAATGTTCTGGAATTAGATTGTGATGATGATTGCACAACTTTGACTATACTAAAAACCATTGAGCCCAGGCCAGCGCTGCTCAATGGTTACTGCGCTAGCGGGCTCCCAAAGTGTGGAGGGTTTGATTTCCCCTCAGGGACACATACCTGGATTGCCGATTCAATCCTTGGCCTGGTCCAGGTGCATACGGGAGACTACCAGTCGATGTATCTCTCTCACATCTATGTTTTTTCTCTCTCCCTCTCTGACTCTTCCTCTTTCCCCCTCCTCCCTTCTATTCTCTAAAAATCAATGGGAAAAAATCCTCAGGTGAACATTAACTAACTAACTAACTAACTAACTAAATAATAAATAAATAAATACAGCCGAAACCGGTTTGGCTCAGTGGATAGAGCATCGACCTGCGGACCGAAAGGTCCTAGGTTCGATTCTGGTCAAGGGCATGTACATTGGCTGTGGACACCCAGTAGGGGGTGTGCAAGAGGCAGCTGGTCGATGTTTCTCATCGATGTTTCTGGCTCTCTGTCCCTCTTCCTTCCTCTCTGTAAAAAAATCAATAAAATATATAAAAAAAAAGAAATACAAACCATTGAATTGTACACTTTAAAAGGGTGGGTTTTACCTGGTCTTGGATGAGAAAGCTACATATGACAAGCTCTGTAAGGAAGTTCACTTATAACTCCAGCTGTGGTCTTTTTTTTTTTAATTTTTAATTTTATTTATTTTTTACAGAGAGGAAGGGAGAGGGATAGAGAGTTAGAAACATCGATGAGAATCATCGATCAGCTGCCTCTTTCACAACCCCTACTGGGGATGTGCCCGCAACCAAGGTACATGCCCTTGACCGGAATCGAACCTGGGACCTTTCAGTCTGCAGGCCGAAGCTCTATCCACCTTGCCAAACCGGTTTCGGCTCCCAGCTGTGGTCTTCTAGAGGCTGAAGATTCGTGGCTCCTTAGCCAGAGCAGTCCTTCAGGAGCTCCTCAGTAAAGTACTTATTAAACTAGTCTCAAAAGCACAGAGCTCACATGATTTACACCAGAAACACCAAAGGTGGGGACACCCCAGCTGCTGGAGAAGATACATGAACAACAGATCCCACCAGCTGTACATTTTTATTAAATAAAAAAAGGAGCGGGTTTTATAGTATGTTATATCTTTAAAATTGTGTGAGCAAAATACATGTAGTAGTGAAAGGTTAATTGTGAAGAAGGGTCTGTATTTTCTCTGTCTAAATCTGGAATAAGTAGCCTGTGAGACTTTAATCCCATGGTAGAGTGATGAAATGTTCAGCCTATAAATAGGCAAGATAGGTGGCAGATCAATTGAAGGGATAGAAAGAAGTCTTTAAAAAAAAAAAAAAAATATATATATATTGAATTCAGAAAGGAAGGGAGAGAGAGAGAGAGAAAGAAACATCAATGATGAGAGAGAATCATTGATTGGTTGCCTCCTGCACGCCTCACACTGGGGATGGAGCTGGCGAGCCGGGGATGTGCCCTGACCAGGAATCGAACTGTGACCTGGTTCATAGGTCAGCCACTGAGTCACGCTGGCTGGGCAAGAGAAGTCTTAAACTGAAGACTTCGACGTGGGCTTGTGTTACCAAAACAAAAGTGTGTTAGATGCTCAATAAGTATTTGTTAATTGAAAAAAAATTTTTAGAAAGTGTGTTTTCAGAGTAAGGTTACCGAAGTTAAGATTTTAGTATAGCAGAGGCAGTTGTAAGCCATGGTTGGAGCACAGGCATGCACATAGGGTGGTGAAGATGCTGGAGTAGTTGGATGTAAAGCTGGACTGTGTAATGGGTATTTGTAAACTATTTCAAGAGTTTATCTTTCTAGTTGATATTTCTGAAACTTGAAAAGTATAGGATTGTAATTTATGCAGCAATAGAAAATGAATGTAAAAGATATGCATGCTGTCATGGATGTTGCAAATGTTTCTTTCCAAATTTCTAATTTGTCTTTTAACTTTATTTTTGGTTTGGATATATAAGGGTTACATTTACCTATAATCGAATATGTTAAACAACAAACAAACAAAAGGTATTAGGAGCCTTTTAAAACCTTATTACTTGCCTGGCCAGTGTGGCTCGGTGGTGGTGGTTGAGCGTGGACCACAGTTCTACTCCTGGTCAGGGCACATGCCCAGATTGCGGGCTCCATTCCCTAGTGGGAGTGTTCTGGAAGCAGCTGAATAACGATTCTTTCTCATCATTGATGTTTCTATCTTTCTCTCCTTTTCCCTTCGTCTCTGAAATAAAAATATTTTTTAAAACCCCACAAAAAACCTTATTACTAAAAAAATTAAAAATGTGGTCCTTGGACCAGAGGCTTCAGTATTGCTTGGAGGTTGCTGGAAATGCAGAATCTCCTGCTCTAGACTTACTGTTGCAATTTAATAAGATTTGCAGGTGATTTGTATGCATACTCATGTTTGAGAAGCATTACTCTGTGGAATTGAATATAGTGAGATGATGTACTGAATTACTACAAAGACCTGACTCTATCTTTACGTATTAAAATATAGCTCTACTTAGAGCACTGCAGTTTGCTCCCTGAGCTATACTTAAAGCATCTGCATTACCTAAGAGCTTGTTGAAAATGCTGTATCTCAGGCCCTGCCCAAGATTCACATGAATCAGAATGTGCATTTTACCAAGATCCCTAGATGATTTACACGTTCTCCCAGAACAAGTCATCCAGAGAGAGTTCGTGGAAGCTGGAAGGCACAGATGAGATTACAACCTATTCTCAGAAGTGATATACCATCATGTTGGTCATAGAGATCAACGGTGGCACAATGTGGGAAGCAAGTTCACAAAGATGTGAATACCAGGAGGCAGGGATCGCCGGGGAGCTGTTTTGGAGGAGGATTACAATGGCAAGGAATAGAGAGACAGAGCTCAGTTAGGTTCCCAAAGTAGTCACTGATGCTGTATCCACTGAGCCAAAACAGTTTCGGCTCTGTCTCTCTCTCTCTCTTTCTCCCCCTTCCTCTCTGAAGTCAACATACCACTAAGGATATCCATTAAGAAAACTGAGCCCTGACCAGTTTGGCTCAGTGGATAGTGCGTTGGCCTGTGGACTGAAGGGTGCCGGGTTTGATTCTGGTCAAGGGCATGTACGTTGGTTGTGGGCACATTTCCAGTGGGAGGTGTGCAGGAGGCAGCTGATCAATTTTTCTCTCTCATTGATGTTTCTGACTCTATCCCTCTCCCTTCCTCTCTGTAAAAAAATCAATAAAATATTTTTTTTTTAAAAAGAAGAAAACTGTTTGAGTTATTTGGATTAAGTATTTTTTGGTGTGTGGTTATCTTTTGAATTCCTACTGATAGTTCCAATTCAAATTAACTATTAGAAATGCAAGATTTTGTTATTCTTTTATCTCTTATCTCCTACTGTGAAAATACTGATTTTTAACCACACAGCATAATCATTCATTTGCAACTATAGTACCCACACAACAGTATCAAAAATACTAA